CCCCCAGCAACTGCACATTGATGTTTCTCTCTCTCTCTCTCTCTCTCTCTCTCTCTCTCTCCCTCCCTCCCTTCCCTCTCTAAAAATAAATAAATAAATAATTTTTAAAAACATGGGAGACTCAAGGGAACATCTTGCTTAAGAAGCCCTCTTTACATACTAAACTTTCCGAGGACCATGAGCACCACAACTCAATCTTCTCCGTAATTAATCAGTCAGAAGAAAGGTTGAAAGGGCTATATAGCATGCATCCATCAAAGTATCCGGGACTTCACACTAGCAACCTGCCAGTGGCAGCCTACCCTCCCTGTGTCACCACAAGACACCCTTTGGTTCCTAACCAACACTCATGAGAAAGATGAGAAGCAATCCATTCTTTTCCAAAGGGGTCTCAGTTCTGCTCCTGGTGGGAGGGTTAATTCCACCTGGGGGAACAAAGAAAAAACATCGCACTGAATTTTTCAGGGGGAATGACTAAAGTATTCACAGAGACACTTTCAAGGCCTAAAGAGTGCTGCTCCCCTACTCCACACATTACACGAATCAGCAGCTAGATCCCCTGCACCACCATCAGGACTCCCAACCCCTTACAGTGCAGGCCTCTGTCAGAGAATACACTGCAGATGCGCTTTCCAGGGCAGGAAGTCAAGAAACAGGGCACATCTCTTGGGAGAGAGTGTCCCTTGTGTCCACAGTACAAGGGTGGAAACTTTTTCCATTGTTATAGCTGGTCTGTTATAAAAACAATAGCCACATGACAGTGAGCTGGGAATTATTTTTTTCTAAAAAGAGACACTACTGACCACAGAAGAGGGAGAATGGGGGGGTCAACGGAAGACCACACAGAAGTAAAAAGCAATTTAATTGGGTTTGGTTTGTTGGTTTTGTGTGTAAGATACATGTACACACATTCAAAAAGACTGAACTCAGCTGATTTCAAATTAAGAACAGAGAACATGAAATTTTAATGACAATAAATTTATTAAAATACACTACGAAGCTACATCCTTGGCAGTAAAGAAACGATGGGGAGGAAGACAAGGAAAAAGACACAATAGTAGAGAAAAAGAAATGTTCAGAAGAGGAAGACGTGGGAAAGGATGGGAAGACAGTGAGGTACAGGGACAGACACACATGCCTGACCCTCCGCAAAAAGAAGGAACCACTAAAATCCAGAGACACTTTCTAGGCCTGCAGATTTAGCCAAGTAAATTTTACTGTACATGGCCAGCTGTTGGCTTGGGCTATAGACTTCAAAGTATTATCACCTAGTACACCTTTGAATGGTTACTGATCTGGTAAACCACTGTCTGATTGCTCGTTGAAACATTCGGAGACTTAGCTGAGGTCATAGGCCAGAAGCTCCCCCAGATGAGCTACAATCCAACAAGTCAGTCGTCTCCAGGTATCTCCTCTGAAAAAGAGTACATGAAACACTACCTCACACAAAGTGCAAGGAAAGTCAGAGAAGAAAATGCTGCTCGAGTTGAAAAGAAATTCCATGGAAAACTTTTTTCAGTATCTGCATTAAAAAAAAATGGGTGTTCAGCAAAACTGGGTCCAACCTCAGCATTCTCTAGCATCACCACCAGCACACCTGACTTCCCACATGTTCAAGTTCCACGTGCCCCAGTGGATCCAAAGGCCTCAGCTGGCCCTGGGAAAAAGCAGCTTCCACACTCCAGTCTGGGGGTCAAAGGGACAGATCCCAAGGAGACTCCAAGTTAGTCCCAGGCCCAGTCTGGATTCTGAGTTCACCCATGCTCACAGACTTGTGTAGGCCAAGCCTCTTCACACTTAACTTCACTCTAAGGGATGCAGAAATCTGCTATTTCACAGCTGATAGAGCCCCCACCTTCCAGCTCCACTCTTTCTCCTCCAAGCTTAGTGTCTGTGTTTTCTCCTTCCCCACCTTACCTGCCCCCAATCTCCTCCCCAGGCTGTTTCTCCAGCCTCCAATTTCTCCCTTCCTCAGCCCCTACGTCTTCACTTTACTCCATCTTAGAATCATTTCTGTTGGAGGAGGAGGGAGCTTTAAAGACACATCTAGAATACAAAACCTAGAATCTATACCCATCTGGGATTCTACCCCAGCTCTGCATTTTGCTAGCTGCATGACCTCAGACAAATCAGCAAACCTCACAACCCATCGAATTACTCAGGGAAGGAGGATAAATCTGACAATCACAGAAGTCTCTTCCAATTCTCAGGTTCTAATATCTAAACGGTTACCCTGTATGACCATAAGTTAACCATGAGTTAAGCATACACAGAAAGAGAATGAATAATAGCAACTCCCTTCTCCCAGCATTCTATCATCCTCCCCTCCCCCCATCTTCCCAGCCAACTACCCACTCTGAAGGTCTGTGCCTCTCTCTCTGGCCAGTTCTAGCTCTGAATTGTTTACATACAGTAAACCTCAAGAATCACACTAATCAAGAAAAAGGTGAGTCTTAATCCAACAGAAGTCTGAGTCTCACAATGCTTCTTTCATGCCATTCAGCAAGATTGTGGATTTAACATCAGCTTAGCAAACAGAAGAGAATCTAAAGATGACACCACAAACTGTATCTTTGATTCTAAGGACAGTAATGCTATCAGGAACCCCGGAAAACAGTCTGCTCAAAAGCCCTCCTCTGGACCAAGGTTCAGAGGACAGAAGCCGCTATTAGCCCAAAGGCCAAAGCAGGTTGGTGGCCAGAATCAAAGCCAGCTGTCCTGCCTCTGGTCCAGAAGTCCTTCACCAAAGCTTTTTGAGACCATCCATCTCCTTTTTCATAGACAAATAATAAATCCTAAATTACCAATGAGTGCCCTCTACAGCAAATCCATTTCCATGTCCAGGGAAAGGTCCAGAACTAAATCTAGATGACCAGCTGATTTACTAATGCTGCCTAGTAAAAGCTTGCTTTCCTGAACCCTGACTATTCATTCTTTACAAAGAAAACCCCAGACTCTGTTACCCACATTGAACTCTATTTTGGAGAGGGGAAAAAAGGGGAGAGCTGAACAGTTCTTTGTCCTGCCAGTAATGAGCATTTTTCTGTTCATCCTTTCCCATAAGGCCTACTCCACCCCACAATATGCCCAATTCCTTCTGAAAAGTTCACAGCAACTCTCCAACTAGAATTTTTAAATGAAGTTAAGAGGAGAAAGTCAATAGCAGGTAAGTATCCAGTGGAAGATGACAATACCCTCCCTTCTCTTCACCTTGTAGGGTAAAAAGCATTTCTTTTCAGTTGCTAATACCCTGCAGGGAAGTCACCAGAGCTAGATCAACTCAGGGCCCTCCAGCTAAGAAATGAGCTCTCAGCAATCCCTGCAGAACTAACCTTTCACTAACTATCAACTCTAACAGTGTCCAGGGCAAAGGTACTAACAGACCAACCCCCTTCCCTCTGGCCAACAGTGGGAGTCTGAGACAACCCTAGAGCTTGGCTGGCAAGGACCTATTTAAGGCAGCATCAAGAGGGTGGGGCAGAAATTTGCTGGCAGCATCCTCCTCCTCCACCCCTCCCTCACAGCCAAAACACACCTCACAGCCAACACTCACACACCCCTCACTTCATAGATAGCCATCTATCTCACCTATGTCTCTTTAAGGCTCTAGATCTGAAGTCTCCAAATATCCAGTATGTATTTTCTGTCTTTAAGGTTGTTGTCCCCATGTGGTGCTCATCCCTCTTAATCAACCTCCTTCTCTTTGATCACCACTAAGCCAAAAACACAGAATTGGATCTAGAGGAGCTCAAAAACCAGAGGTGAGTGGGTACAGACAAACCATCCCTTCGCTTATGAGAGGAAAAAGGGCGCAAGTGAGGGCGATGTCAGATGCCTGGCATGCCGTTTAGTTCCATGGTGTCTGTAAGTGAACCTTCCTCCTATTGACAATGAAATTAATTCAGCCAATTTCAGTAGGTCGGCTCTCTGACAACAGGAGCATCTCAGCGCTCAGTTTAAAACAAAAATCCAAAGGCTCGGCCAGGACACGCTAGAAAAACCCAGGGTCTAGATAAAAGGAGCCACGCTCAGTGGGATGGATCCCTTTTGCTTTTACGTAGCAATGTAATAGCGTAATAAATTCTGTCTGCCTTAAGAAAGCATGCACTAGTGAATTTCAAAGCCATCTTACGACAGCGGATGCTGGGGGATGCAGAATTCGACAGCACATTCCCCCTTGCAAGGAACATAATGACTTCAAGCCTCTTTTCGCCTCTATCTTGAATGGGGCTACCGCTTATCAAGGAAGCCTTGTCCAAAAGCAGCGAGGGGAGAGCCGGGGATGTCCGGGGAATTAGGAAAAGGGAGTTGATTTCAGTCCATCTCGGCGATGAGCTGCCAGTCACTCTCGAGGATGAAGGATCACGGGCAGATGGGCAGACACGGTGTCCTCGGACGGACACACACGGACACACACACACACTCGTTCTGGTGGGTCCTAGGCCAGACCGGCCGTCCTTGGCCCCTCCCGCCGCCTTCCCCTCCAGAAGGATGCTGATGAATGAAAACACCTGAGATGCCTCCATCCAGGCGCTCGCTCCCTTCCTTCTTCCCTGGCTGCAGAAGAGGGGCCTCTCCTCGGTAGTTTCACTTTACAGAGCAAACCCCCCCGGGCTTTGATATCGCCTCCACCCACCCATATTGCAGCCAGCCTGAAGCAGGAGGACGTTCTTTCCTGGCAGAGGCCATGATCGCACGTACCCCCCAACCCACCAAAAAAACCCCTGGAATCTCCCAGAACCCCCGCACCCTGGGGAACTTTCCTTGAAAGACTGGCAGGAAAGAGGGTTGGCCGAGGAGGGCCATGATTTCCCTGTGATTACGGGGGATGCTCTGGGGGAGGGGGTCCCCAAGTCCTTCCAACAGCTGGCCCTTTAAACGCGCCTCCTCCGAGCGTGGAACAAAGGCGCCGCCCGCGGGGGCCGGGCTGGCGCACGCCCCCGGCGCCGGCGCCACAGATCGGGTGAGAGCCGGCTGGCAGGAGGCTGGCGCGGGCTTACCTTGCGGGTCGCCAGGCGGGCGGGCGGGCAGCGCGCGTCCTGCCCCACTCGCACTACACGCTGCAGTTGGCCCCGCTCTGTTTTTCTGGGACTCGGCGCTGACTTCACCGACACTCCGCAGCGGGCCAATGGGCTGCGGCGGCCGCCCCCTCATTAGCATGCATCTGGAACCGTCCACTCCGGCTGCGCTCTGGCAGCGGGCGGTGCCAGGGGGCGGTGCCGAGCCGGGCAGTGACAGGAAGGGGCGTGTGAGCCAATAGGAGGCGAGGTAGCGCTCGCCGCCCCTCCCCGCGGTATTGTCAGCGCAGAGCGCGGGCCCGCGGATCCCCGGCCCGTAACGCGCGCAGGGGACCAGTAACCCTTTCTGTGGTGGCCGACTGCGGGCTAGTCTGGAGGTTGGCGCAGCGCGCCCTCTGGCCGTTCAGAAAGATCGCCCACGGGAAGCTGGAAAGGACCCTTGGGCAAAAAATAACATCGGTCATGTATGTTACTTAAGCATATATGTTTCTTGACCGTATATGTTACTTAACACCTACGCCCCAGTTTGCTCATCTGCAAAATGGTATAATAGTAGGATGTAGTAAAGATTAATATAATTAACCTACGTAAAGCGTTTAGGTCGTTATCTGTCTGTAGCGCTATGTAAACGTTTGCTACTATAATTATACTCTATACCAGCCAGTGTGCTTAATGCTTCCTGGATATTTTCTCATTTGATCCTCATAGCCTTCAGAGGCACTGGTATTAAACCCTATTTTTCCAAGCAGGAAAACTGAGGTGTGGTTTAAGTGGCTTTCTCGAGGTTACATGGAAAGCGCTGCAATCATGACTTGAACCCAGGCTCTGAACGTTCATTCATGCTGCACACATTTATTCAGGGGCTGCATGGCAGGCATGTGTTAGGCTCTTGGATCACTGAAGAAAAAACAAGCAGGCAAGGGCCCTCCCCTCATGAAGTTTCTTATTTAGTCAGGCAGACAGGCAGATCAATAAGTGAATAAATAACTAAGATCGCCTGCAATGTGAAAAGTAGAGTGGATAAAATAAAACAGGGTAATGTGCGAGGGGAGAGAAGAGTACTTGACTAGATTGAATTTTGAGCTAACCATTGTGCGATACCATCCTGACCTCCTCCAGTCCCCTGCTGTGTTTCAGAAAAGGAATCAGAGAGGGAAAGCTGCTTGCCCAAGGTCACAGGGCCAGCAAATAGCTGGCCTGGAAATTGATCCCTTTGTGCCTAGCTTCTCACATCCCTGGGACATCCCGGTCATCCTTGGCCTGAACAGAACTGACTTTGGTCAGCTGCCCTTGGCAAAATTCTTCAGCCAGAGCACGTTCCCAGTTAATAGTCTGTGTGTGGCACGGTAAAGACAGGCCTTGATGACTGAAGAGGGTGATGGGAAACCCATCTGCTAATGTTCTTAGATGTCAGGTAACAGTGACAAGCCTTTTGTGAGCATCTGCTGTCCTCTTCTGTGTAAAGAAAAATAAAATTTTAGAAAACTCCTAACCACCTGGGAGCTTACTCTACAACTAAGGAGACAGGACACCACTAGAAAACTATTCAATCTGGGGAACCCCCAGCCCAGGCCTCTCTCCACTTGCACGTCTTCCCGCTGCTTTGCAAAGAACACTGCACTAGGAATCATGCTTCCCAGACTCTGCTATTAACTTACTCCATGATCTAGGCGAGACAGTTCCTTCTGGATCTGTAAAGGAATAAAAAGGCTTTTCTTGAGCACGTTTAGTCTGCTGTGTGCTATTCTGTACTTGCGCTAAGAGCTTTACCTGCATTAACTCACTGACACCCCACAACAAGCCCAGGAGAGATACTATCATTACCTTGAGGTTGTCCACACAGGAGGAAAATAACAGGTAGAGAAACTAAGTAAGCTGCCTACCCAGCAAATTCAGAACAACGCCATTTAGAGTAAAAAAAAAAATCAAAACAATTCAAATATTCAATTAAATGGATTGGATAAAAAAATTACAGTATAACCACATGATGTCATGCCAATAGTTATGCAAAATGAAAGAGTAAAGTGACACCTGTTAACACATAAAGATGCTCATAGTATATTGCTGAATGGAAAAGTAGGTTAAAAACAAGTTTTATACTGCAATCCTATTAAAACAATTTCTAATAGTTCTAATGAGATCATGAGTATTTTTGCTCATCTATATTTTTCTGTTTTTTAAAAACATCTATCAAATTGTTCAATGATAAGAAAACAAAATAATTTTATTTTTAAAAAATGTATTTAAAACTAAATAATTTTAAAATGAAAAACCAGACTCTACCCATGGACATTTGATCTACAGGCAAGGCCATCTCTATAAGTGAGAAACTGCTTCAAGGAATCTTAAATGAGGCCGAAGTCTTCTCATCATCCCCCAGATGTCGAACTCCCGTGCTGGTTCCAGTCTGTGTGAGTGTTGCATTTCTCACTGTAAAGCCTGACATTATCACTAGAGTTTGTGAGCTAAATGGGAAAATACTGGAAGAACAGGAAGGAAGGAAAGAGGGAAAAACAGGAAATTCCTACTATCCTTCAAGACTCATCTCAAATGTCTTCAAGAAGTATTCAGAATCAAGGTCTAATAACTTTAACACTGAAATCAACCCAAGAAATCACCAGAGCTCATTGTTCAATTCATTATGTCCAGTCACTCACTGTTGTGTCTGAGTAGCATCCCCTAAGCTAGACACCGGTGACACTCGGCTCCTTGTCTCCCAAAGGCAACCCTTGATGAAGCAGATGCTCAGGGGGGGCCCAGGTCCATGGAGATGCAACCTGTGCTGGGAAGGGTCCCTCCCATGTTCTGCTCTCACCACCTTGAAATTCTTCATATTTGAACAAGGAGCCCCGCAATTTCATTTTGCACTGACCCTGTAAATTATGTGGGCTTGTCATAGGGAGGAGAAACACCAAGTTCTTATCAGTGCATCCAGTGACCAAGCCTGGAGTAAAGCTCAGGGTTCTCTGGTCTCCATCCCAATCATTCTCTTATATCACATGGTTTGTTCCCAGTTCCCCAGGGTGTGAGTTCTCCTGCTTTCCAGTCCCACAAGCACTTCATTCATTCCTCTCTCGTGGAATTTGCCATATTTGGCAGGAGCTCATATATATATGTATAGTCTTATTCCTCATCCTCTCTCCCTACCAGACTGTAAATTCCATGAGGTCCTGTCTTGTGTCTGCTTGCCTCAAACAGTGCTTAGCAGTGTGCTCTACACACTGTTAAAAATCTGCTTAAATGTGATTTAACCTTATTAGTAAACCCTTGTTTTCTCTACATGTGCATCAGATTATTCCCAGCAGTCTTTTTGCTGTTTCAGAGAAACAAAAATATCAGGAGAGTCGATCATACAAACCAGGATCATAAACATGCAGGAGGAAGCAGCCCACAGATAGTCTATGAGTGTGAAGAATTAGAAGAGAGAGCAGGAGAAAAAGCGAATCTATACTCTTGTGCTGTATAGATTACTGAGGACACAGAACTGATTTGAACATTGTGGAATGCCAGATCAAGAATTCTACGTTCTCCAGAGGTCAATGCTGGGAGCGGTGCTTTAGGGAAGTTTGGCGAGATGGGTGGATGTTGGTCAGAAGTTTATGGGGCCAGGAAGAAATGAGAGGAGCTGTGGGGTTCACTCTGCGTGGGAAGCAGGGCCAAGATGAGTGTAAATCTGTAACCCACAGAGTCCAGTCACAGGCCTCTGTTCATCGATCTAAAAACACTTGTGATGTAGGTTTGTGTACATAAACATGTGTACATAATAGGATCACATTTCTATACAATTGCATTGTATTTGACGAAGTATGTAAGGTTTCACTTTGAGATTGCTTTATGCTATTAAATAGTCAAAATAAGACATTTAATAAGAACTGGGTAGACCTTTGAGAGAAATGAGAAGTACATAATGTATTTCTCTCCACTTCTACTGTGTTAATAGAATGGCCTGCCCTAGGTCAGGGGTTTGGGAGGGTTACAAGAGGAGAGGGGCATCTGAAGGCAGCTGTGGAGTCAGGGAGTCATCAATTAGAATATGCTGAGTTTACTTTAGAAGACTTACTACTCTGAAATAAGTTAGTTGTTGAAGTGTTTACCTGAAAAAAAGCAATCGTTTTTAGGGTTAGCAATAAAAGCCAGGAAGAAGGAATAAGCAGGGAGAGAGGAAGAAAAAGAGGGTGGTGAAGGAAAAGGGGATGGATGTCAAGAGAGGAAGAGAAATCATTAAATGGCCTGAAGAAAAAAAAATACAACTTCAGAAATAGGGCAACTAGCTTCACTAAACAAATGTAACCTTAGTAAGATTTTTAAAAATCAACAACAATGGTGTTAAGGGAATAACTGACATTCTGGAAGTTGCTGTAAGCTTTGTCAGAGGTGATTGGAAGAGTTCACTGAGGAAACTCATTAAACGGGGCCACGTTGAGTCACATGGATGCCCCGGGAAAGTTAATAACAGTTTGTCAGCATTTACCAAGAGTTGCTGCACAGTGTGGGGAAAGGGCAGAAGGGGAGATGGCAGTAGTGCCCATCATATAACAGCCCCTTCTCCACCACCTCTGCATGTCTGTCCTGCCCCCACGTTTGCTTGCCCAACTCCTACACCAGTCTCCTAAGACTTCGCTTACCTTGACCTGCTTCCATGGATGGCAGTATGGTGACCATCCCTCGTCACTGTGCTGTGCTCCTCAGGGAGCGTGCTGCCTGCTCTCCCAGCTGCCTGAACCAAGCGATTCACCAGGCACGTCTGGCTGTCTGTGAGAGGAAGTCTAGGAAAGTCCTATTTCCAGGGCTGTTGGAGCCCTCTTAAAACTGGCAATCTAGACTGTATTTGTGCAGCCAGCCTGTTTGTTTGGTTCTGTCTGTAAGAAGGGTAAACTGAAGGAACCAGGTCCTACGGCCAAGTGAGTGAAGGCAACTGGAGCTTGTGGAAGAGAGAAGTGGACAGAGATACCTCTCTTTTCCCCCTTACGCCAAAAGAACTGGGGGCTTTTTTATTTGACCTTGATTAGAAATACAGCAGAACCAGACAGTTTGCTAGAGTCAGGCTCCCAGAATCTGCTGCAGCCCAGCTTACCACCTCCAAAGAAGGAGGGTCATTCATGGTGA